AAGCGAGATGATAGATTCTATCTCACAAGAGTGTCAGAAGCATTAAACGAGGTGATGTATAGAGTGCTCAGCGTGAAGGTGCCCACATGCAAAGCACTCAGTAAATGATAGCTATTAGGGCTCTTAGTAAGTCCTCAATAAAACCTGGATGGGAGAATGATTGATTTCTCTATATCCATTCACCTGCACTTTAACTATCAGCTCATTTACCACAACTACCCCCTTCCTGAGCAGTTAACAATGTAATCCGATTTATAAATACAGATCACTACCTGAACCATTGAAGCTTTATGAGCTAAAGGGCCCTAATTTTAAGTGCAGTAGATACTAATGGTTTCTTTCTTGTAACAAAAATATCTTCAGGCTGCAATTTTGAGATCGCATTGAGGCTGAGTATTCACTTTGTGCCTTTCTACAAATGGTATGAGAAATTACAAGGCTAGGGGTTTTCTTGGCTATCCATTTGTCTCTTTCCCATCTTGCAAGTGGAACTAGTACTGCTGTTGCCAAGCAACAGTGCAGTGGTGGGAGTGATGGTGCATGTGTAATGTGGCACTCCGGGAGCAAGAGGCTTAGTTCTAGAGCTTCTCCAAGGGCACTGGAAAGGAACACTGAAGAGTGTGCAACAGCTGGGCAGCTCTGTCATTAATGCAAATCCTCCAGTAATTAAAAGAGCTGCTTCCATTGAGCAATCCCATCACCAGCTTCCTGTGAACTGTTGAAAATCCTAAGAACTACAGGGTATAGAATCTCTTGAGGGTTGTGTTCAGCCTCCTAGTACCGTGGCCTGAACACACGCCATCAGTATAGCAATTCCTTTTGACAAATAATCAGAACTCAAGATACACTCTGAAAGAAGGGTTGGAAATCTCCACCCCAAACATGCATTTATTCTATAGAAATAATAGGAGAATGGTTCTTTTAGTGAAGTAAGAGCTTAAAAAGGGATTGGGAAGTATAAGGGGAAGGATGAGAGAGAACAATTGGCAGTCATCTGTTTGATGTTATGAGAGAAGAAAATGAATGTTGGGATTAGCCATTGAGAACTCTAATTTATTACAGTCAAACTTCACTAATATGGAATAATACATTCAAACTTGTATAATGTGCAATTGAAAGCACAAGCGAAAGAACCAGGTTGAGATCCATCCAGGTTTAGATCTCAGCTCTCCAATTAATTAACTCAATTAAATATGGAAGGTCAATTAACCTCTCTGTGCTCTGCTTTCTTTCTTCATTTTTCTTTTTTTGATAGAGAGATTTTTTTGCTAGGGCACGTGTGCTTACCAAAGAGACAGAGAGAGACAGAGACATAAAGTGAGAAATTGCCCCCCAGGGTGATGGCCATGGCCCAGTCCCTTCTCCTCTTGGGATTCTGGCACACACGCATGAGTACCCAGAGTGAGTTTCACGATGCTGGGTCTGAGACTCACACTACAGTTGGCCACGTGTGCCATCTGTCAACCCCTGTCCTCTGCTTTTGGAGTATAAAGTGCATGTAATTACAGTAAATATCTCATAGGTCGGCTGTAAAGATTAAGTTAATACAAGGAACGATTTAAACTTAAGCAGGCATACAATAAATATTAAATAAATGTTAGCCATTATTAGTTCTGTTTTCACACATTTTTATTAAGAAAAAGGCCTTGGGGCCAGCAAGTGGTGTGATGGTTAAGGCACTGGACTCCCATATGGCTGACTATAGTTCGAGTCCCAGACCTGGTGGCTTGCTTTAGAGAGAGATTTAATAATAAATCATTATTTGATTTAATAATAAATCAAATTAAATAATTCTTAAAAAAAAGAAAAAGTCCTCATTCTATCCCTCTATTTTTTCTCATTAAGAACCGTATCCATCCTTATTCAGTACATTAGAAATTTATGGGATGACCAAATAAGAAGGCAGTCTATTTTATTTATTTATTTATTTTTTAGAGAGAGAGAGACAGAGAGACAGAAAGCAAGAAACCACATGCCTTGGGGAATGACCACGCTGCAGTCCCTCCTCCATTCCCCTCTTGGGAATCTGGGCACGCACATGCACTCATGCTTGATGTGCATTTTAGGCCCGGATCTGGAGCTTGAACCATGTGGGCGTGATGTAATTGTTTGCCATCTGCTGGTCCTGCAAATGAAAAGGCATTCTAAAAATTAAATTAGCTCACTCTTGTTCAAGACATTTTCAAACTGACTCTAAATAATAAGATTGAATGTATATAAGAAAATTAAAATAAAAAAGAAAAGAAGTGAAGCCATCAAAAAAAAAAGTGCAGGGACCAGCAGTTGGCGTAATAGCTATGTCGCTGGACTCCCATGTAGTCGACTGCGGTTTGAGCCCCAGACCAGGTGACTTAAACTCACGCCAGGAACGTGTGCATGTGTGCCCAAGATCCTGAGAGGAGAATGGAGGAAAAGGAATTGTAGTGTGGCTATCCCCCCCAGGGGGTGAATTCTCGATTTCTATCTCTCTGTCTCTCTTTCTGGCAAGCTCACGTGCCCTATAGCAAAACCCTCTCCAAAAAAAAAAAAAAAAAAAAAGTGCAGGCCTAAATCATAATAAAAATAAAACTAGGAACTAAGAATATCTTCACATTCCTTTTTCTTTGCTTTTTCCCCCTAAACTTTCGACATACAATATATTTTTAAAGAATGTTAAACTCAAAATTAGAGGCTGATATTGACCTTCTGCCGTATATTTTATTCTCTCTCTCTTTTTTAAAGGTTTTTGTCGCTATATTTTTATCAACTCGACCGGTGAGAAATGTTCTTTTATTGAAATGATCACCTTGTAAGCTAAATAATGTGACTGAATGTATTAAAAAATGTAAAATAAATAAATAAATAAATAAATAAAATAGTGGTACAGAGACAAAATAATAATAATTAGAATAATAATAATGATAATTGGGAAAAACATAGAAAAGATATTGAACATTGAAGCGGGGAGATTAATGTCTCTGTATTGACTGACATGCATGGCATTCCCTTTTGAAAAAGCAATGTAATACACTGTAAAGTTATATGCAATCCAGTGTAATACAAAGAAGATTATGATGATAATAAAAATAAATTTAAAAAAATAAAAATAAAATAAATAAAAGTTTTTGTCATAGGGATTGTGCTGCTGTAGAGATAGTGAGAGGGAAAGTGAGGACTCACCTGCCCAGGAAAGATGGTCTTGCTGCAATCCTTTCTACATTCTCCTCCTGAGATTTTGGCATGTATGCACACTCACCTGGCATGACTTTCAAGCCACCAGGTCTGGGACTCGAACTGCAGGTGGCCTTGTCTGAATCCAGGCCTAAACCAATATGCCTTCTATTGGCCCCCATACATTTTATTGTTTTTTTGTTTTGGTTTGTTTTTTCTTTTTTTTCTTTTTTTTTTTTTTTTGAGAGAGAGAAGTTTTTGCTACGGGATGTGGTGTGCACTCACTGGAGAGGCAAGAGTGAGACAGAAAGACAGAAAGTGAAAAATTAACCCCTTTGGGGGATAGCCGCCTCAATACCTTCTCCTCCACTCTCCTCTTGGGATTTTGGGCACAAACACACACATGTCCGGCAGGAGTTTTAAGATGCCAAGGCCGGTGACCACGTGGGAGTCCAGCCACGTAGGCGTTACACCGTCCGCTGATTCCCATCAGTTTCGTTCCCGACAGATAAGTATCTCTGCCTTCCGAAGGCAAGAGTAGCCTGCAGTTTATTTAGAATGCTGGACATATAATGCCTTTGTCGTGTATTGAATTTTAATACAGAAATAAGGACTGCCTCAATGGGAACTAAGAAATATCTTTGATAGAGTGTGGATGCTCTAAAAAGAGCCCAGGGTCTCGTTTGAGTTCTACCTTGTTTCTTCACTTGGGCACACAGCTGTACCTCTTGGCGCGTTGCTTTCTCTGTCTTTAAAAGGTAGAGGGCACAAGCACTTGCCAGAAAGCAACACAGAGAGACAGAGGGAGAGCACAAGAAAACATCCCCTATACGGAACGGTCACTCTGCACTCCCCTCTCCTCATCGACCCCGCCGTTTCAGGGTTTTGGACGCACACCAGGCACGCTTCTCAAGCCACGGATCTGAAAGTCAGACCTCCCAGTCAGCCGTGTGGGATCCAGCTGCCCCGACCACCACACTGCAGGCAGGTCCCATCATTTCAGCTCTTACACGTCATCAAATGGTGCCATGCATAGCAAATGTATCTATTTGCACTGTTACTTGAGAGGTTCTCACGCAAACTTCAGTCCTAGGAACTGACTTATCTTGAAATGAACATACTAAATGAAGAAAGATACGGGTTTTCAAATCAGTTAGTAGGATGAATACTTTTTCCTCTTTCTTCTGGAATCTGTGGCATTGTTTTAGATTCTCCATATGAGATATGCAGCTCTTTGAACAATGAACGAAGCAGAAATAGCTTTATTTCAGCAATCAAGAAAGCACATAAGAAACAAAAAAACAGGCACACAGAAACAGGCACAATCAACTCTTGATTGTTCAAGACTAACTATTTTACAGAAACTAAACATTGGTATCTTCAAAAATTACATGTATCAAAAACATCTAAATATTTCAGCAGGGCCAGTCTTTTAGTTCAGTGTTATGTTTTGGGAGCCAGATCCCACTGAATTGATCAACATTTTAACTATGGCCCCAGTAGTTTGAAAAAACATGCTGGGCATGTGTGTGTGCATGCCCCAAATTCTGACAGGATAGTTAAATGAGGGAGAAAGGATTGTGATGTCACCAGGACTCATGGGGAGTGGCGGGTGGGGGCTTTCTCTCTCTTCCAAAAATCTAAATAAAAAGTATAAAGTGTGTGTGGGGGAAAAAGGAATTAAAGCACTAGTTTATAAAAAGAAAAGAAAAGGAAAGATGCAAGAACTATTTCCTAATTTGAACGAAGCAGTATGCTAATTGGTGGGATCAATCAAACATAATCGGAGTTGGGAGAGCTGTGCCTTACATACTCCGGCTGATGGCAAAACTGTCACGCACACTCGGACGGCGAGGCTCCGAGGCTATGAGGTGAGGACGCCTGGGGACTGGAGGCGGCACTGCGCGGCGCGACGCCCAGGGACGCGGAGCCCCAAAGCCGGTGGATGACTTTCGGATCCCGCAGCGCGCGCAAGGTGGAGGAGAGAACATTGAAATTATTCTCTAAGCTATTTGAAGAGAGTGACTAAATGCACCTGAGTCAGGCTGTCCGTGGGTATGAAGTGGTTGGGAGAATCCAAGAACATGGTGGTGAATGGCAGGAGAAATGGAGGCAAGTTGTCTAATGACCATCAGCAGAATCAAACCAAATTACAGCACACGGGGACGGACACCCTGAAGGCTGGCAAAAACGCAGTCGAGAGGAGGTCAAGCAGATGTAATGGTAATTCAGGATTTGAAGGACAGAGTCGTTATGTGCCATCTTCTGGAATGTCTGCCAAGGAACTCTGTGAAAATGACGACCTTGCAACCAGTTTGGTTCTTGATCCCTATTTAGGTTTTCAAACACACAAAATGAATACTAGTGCTTTTCCTTCGAGGAGCTCAAGACATTTTTCAAAGTCTGACAGTTTTTCTCACAACAACCCTGTGAGATTTCGGCCTGTTAAAGGAAGGCAAGAAGAACTAAAGGAAGTAACTGAACGTTTTAAGAAAGATGAGCACTTGGAGAAGGCCTTCAAATGTTTGACTTCAGGTGAATGGGCAAGGCACTATTTTCTCAACAAGAACAAAATGCAGGAGAAATTATTCAAAGAACATGTATTTATTTACTTGCGAATGTTTGCAACTGACAGTGGATTTGAAATTTTGCCTTGTAATAGATACTCGTCAGAACAAAATGGAGCCAAAATAGTTGCAACGAAAGAGTGGAAACGAAATGACAAAATAGAATTACTGGTGGGTTGTATTGCCGAACTTTCAGAAATTGAGGAGAACATGCTACTTAGACATGGAGAGAGCGACTTCAGTGTCATGTATTCCACAAGGAAAAACTGTGCTCAACTTTGGCTTGGTCCTGCTGCCTTTATAAACCATGATTGCAGACCTAACTGTAAGTTTGTGTCAACTGGTCGAGATACCGCATGCGTGAAAGCTCTAAGAGACATTGAACCTGGAGAAGAAATTTCTTGTTATTATGGAGATGGTTTTTTTTGGAGAAAACAATGAGTTCTGCGAGTGTTACACTTGTGAAAGACGGGGAACTGGTGCTTTTAAATCCAGAGTGGGACTGCCTGAGCCTGCTCCTGTTATCAATAGCAAATATGGACTCAGAGAAACAGATAAACGCTTAAATAGGCTTAAAAAGTTAGGTGACAGCAGCAAAAATTCAGACAGTCAATCTGTCAGCTCTAACACTGATGCAGATACCACTCAGGAAAAAAACAATGCAAGTAAGTAAGGGAGATTTAATAAGCATATCATTGTTAAAGAAATATTACACCGTTTGCTTTCTAAAACGTGCTTAAATGATTATGAACGTTTAAATATTAAGAGAAACTGGTACTCATGAGCTTCAGCACTACTGCTAGGTTCTAGTGTAAAGACACACTCTGTATCCTACCTACAAATGTAATACCACCCTCCAGACTTTTCCTCAAATGCTTGATAACTAGATACTCAGTTCTTTATCATATGTTCCAGGATCATCATAAATTTAAGGAAAATATGTTCAAGGTGTTAGTAACACTATATTAATGTTGTTAGACCCAACAAGAAGACAAAGGACTGGGTACAATTATATAGGCTCATAAATGCTCTATTGTCTAGCCATTCTGTTAGGAAAAGATAGTGAACTTAGGGAGTTCATAGCTTCTGTCTTAAGTCTTCTGCCTTTTTACCTTTTTCAAAATGAATTGACCCAGTTCCCCAAACCTCCAGTTACCAGACTCAGAATAGTGATAGAGGACCATTTTGAGTGTTGCTGAATTGTGGCATTTTGTATTAGCTATTATAGGGAGTAGCAAGAGAGCTGAGAAGGAGACAGGAATAAGCTTTGAGATGCCAGTTATGAGTGGGGGCAAGATTTAATGAAAACTGGAAAAGGAGAATGAAGAATAAACAAAAGAGAAGAAAACTTAAATGAGCAAAGGAAAACACATCCTATTTGTGGAGTTTTGAAGTTCTGGAACCATTCTAATTGCTACTGTTTTTCATCTGGGTAACACTAGTTTTCTCTAGTTGCAACTAATACGGTAGACTCTTCGGTCTGACTTGTTTCTGACAGACAAAAGTTATAAATTTTGGCTTGGCAATCCCCAAAGTGATGCCTGTGTTGGCCTATAAATGTCTGGTGAGACTCCTTAGCACTTAGGAGCTCTCTGAGATATTGATGTTTGTAAGCTCTTCTCCCTACCTTCTCCCAATACTGGGTGCTCCCTT